TGTTAGGTAAACCTAAAAATATCGAACACATTGTACACACGTCATAATTATTTTTAGGTTTACCCACGTCATAATCAATGTGTTCGAAATCACCCTGTTGGTTATTTTTAGGTTTACCTGACAAATGCAGTAATCATCCTGTTGGTTATTTTTAGGTTTACCTAACGAATTCAGTAATCATCCTGTTGGTTATTTTTAGGTTTACCTAACAAATGCAGTAATCACACTGTTGGTTATTTTTAGGTTTACCTACACGTCATAATCAATGTGTTCGATATTTTTAGGTTTACCTAACAACTGAATTCGTTAGGTAAACCTAAAAATAACCAACAGGATGATTACTGCATTTGTCAGGTAAACCTAAAAATAACCAACAGGATGATTACTGAATTCGTCAGGTAAACCTAAAAATAACCAACAGGATGATTACTGAATTTGTTAGTTAAACCTAAAAATAACCAACAGGATGATTACTGTAAACCTAGCAATGAAACTCTGATAACAGGTAGCGTAATAGCGTTTTCAGCACCATTCTAAGACGGTGTCGCCATTTGTAAACATCTAAAACTATTAATATTTAACCAGACATTTCATTCACAACAACCACTTAGCACAGTGTTTTTCAATCTCATTTTAAAAAATATTCGTGACAGGTATTTAGTTTTTAAAGGAAACAAACTCCTCAACTGTGGTGTTCAGGGATATCGTTACCCCCCTTTGCCCCACTTACGATGATTTTGTTTATTACTTTCGTGGGGTATTTAAATTTTATCTGGGGAGGTTGGTCGTGCGCTGTCCAGTGAGTTTGAAGACGTATGGAGAAATGAGAGAAGTAGAGGCATATCCAGAAGGTTCCAGAGTGTTTATTTTTTACCAGAGAGAATCTCACTGATTTCTATACTCAGTTAAGTTTATCCTCTGTATATAATAGCAGCAATGATAAGAATAACAATGGTAGTGAAACTTTAAAATCAGTTTTATTTTGTTAACACAGTATCATTCTGTTTTTGTTAAAACTGTTATGTAGAAACTTGAATCTTATTATTACCCTCTTTAGAACGCTCATCACAGATCCCTAGAGGTCTCTGACCACTGCTTGAGAACTTTGGCCATATAAAACAAATTAATGACCCTAGAAACTGTTTTCAGCATTTTGAACGACCTTGCTTTAGTTATTAGAGAATCTATCTTGCAGTAAAGAAACTGAAACCTGATATCTATCTATCTCAGTTATACTGTCACTTAAAGTTTCTGATTGTATATTATAGAAAACAACGTGATAAAACGAATTTGTTGTTATAACTTAAATATTAAACTTAGAAATATAATATATTTGAGCCCATTTTTCGTAAAATTCACAGTTCGTTAATTTGAAGAGCACGTGCCTTTTTTTCAAGTATTGATGAACGATTTTTAATCGAGTGATAAAGTTGAGGAACGGATTAATCGGTTTTATCTACGACTTACTTTAAATCACGAACGACAGACGCCTTCTAACAGGAGAATAAATGGTAAAATTAACATACGTCTACCTTAGAAATCTGATTGGACATTTTAATTAACATACGTCTACCTTAGAAATCTGATTGGACATTTTAATTAACATACGTCTACCTTAGAAATCTGATTGGACATTTTAATTAACATACGTCTACCTTAGAAATCTGATTGGACATTTTAATTAACATACGTCTACCTTAGAAATCTGA